ATATATAATTACATATTGTTTTTGTGATTAATCACTATGCTTTAATTATGTTCAATTTGTAACAATGAAAATACATCCTGCATATCAGATATTTACATGACGATTCATAACAGTAGCAAAATTACAGTTATGAAGTAGCAACAAAAATAATTTTAAATCTGTGAGTTTAGTGAAGTCTTCTCTTCGTGGTTGCGGCATTAGGAAGGTTGAGAACCACTGCACTAATGTCTTATAGCAAAACAGTGTGGCTATTGCTTAGCAGTACTTCTTTTGATATTTACAAAAGAACAGAATTAAAAGAAAGGAATAGCATGTCTTTGTGGTTTATATGTTTTTATAATAAAATTCTCTATGCTTTGTTTCAAAAATCAGAGATGATTATGCTGCCCTGCTACGGGTATTGTTGGGGAGCACACTATATATGTGAATAAAAATGTGAAATGATTGTTTCTTGAATATAATAGAAACAGATTAAACATTTGTGGACTCACTATAATGAATAATCTAACTCCAAGGGAAACGTAAATGTTTCTTTTGCTGATAAATTATATAACTTTGCTATTATAAGTGTACACTTGTATATCAATATTTTGTATGTTAAAATAGTCAAATTATCATTGGATAATTGCAGCATATTATCAGTTTTTTTTCTTCGGCATTTTGCATGGGGTCCCTTTTATTCTAAACTTCCTTACGCTAACTTTAAGTACAGTCATTTTCTCCAGTGTAAGGCTTTTACTATGTTAAAATGGAAACAATCTCCATTGGTTTCGATATTATAATGGCATTTGACCATTTTTCATTTTCAGAAAAGAAAACTCACAGCAATGTATATTGAAAAAACAATTTTCATTCACATTCAGAATGTGCTGTTTTGTTTCAATCTGACCAATTTAGAAACTATGAATGCCTTTTAAATAAAATAATCTCTTTGTTTTGCTTATGTGTCTTTGTTTTGCTTTGTTTTGCTTTTTATCTGAAAGGTGTAGTAAAAAGAGGGCAATCACTGTCCCTGTAAAGTAAATTGAGATTTTTTTTAATTTCCTTTTTTGGTCATGTGACTCTATTTCTTAATTAGTGTGACCAATGTGGTTTAAAATAACAATTATGCTATTACTAATGAAAAGTGTGTTGGCAGTTATGTGCTGGTAATAGCCAGATGTCACAGAGCACTCATTTTCCTCTTAGTTTGGTGATTGTGAAAAAGTTTTAATAAAGAAATAATGGAATGGTTAATGTTACAACAGAGTAAAATTTTACTTTGATTTACTGAAAAGGTATACAATAATAAGCAGCCGATTCATTACTAGTCACAAAACATAGCAGTTAGGCATCAAATAATTTTTCTTCTATCTTTGGAAGCTAATCAAGATTTCAGGCACAATACAGGTTACTGGAAAAAACAACAACCCACATTTTACAAAATTAATGGTAAATTAGATTTAAGCAACAGTTTCAAAATGGCAAAAGAAAAAAAGAGTTTGAGAAGAGACTAGATATTGTCGTAACACTAAACAAACTTGAAGATGTTTCAATAGCTTTGTTATTTACAAATTTGACTAAAATAGTGCATATTATGATTATCAAGAGATTATCATTTACAACTGAGCTAGAAACACAACATAAACTATGGTCCTTAATAGGATTTTAATTATATGTTTCATTAAAGTTATTGGTAATCCAAGTTTATTACGTCTGCAGCTTTTGAATAGAAAAACACATGATGTAAGTGTGCCCCCCTGTGGCTACAAACTAGTTTGTAAGACTGTCAGAAAAGACCTACATGGAAAGAGAGCCTTAACTGGGTCTATTCTCTAGTGAGCACTTACTCCATCCCAGGCAGAGGCTGTCTCTCCTCTTTTTAAAGATAATCAAAGGTAGAAGATTCATAATTTCTCTTACAGTTGTTACAAATATTTTATTTTTAGTAGCCATATATGCTAATCAACATATCCAGCTCTGATCCTGAGGTGGTGTAACATAGTAAAAACACATAAATCAACACAAAGCACTTTTCCTCATATACATATTGTTAGATTAAAAGTCAAGCCTGAGTGATTTTCTGCAAGTTGCTTAAAATACATTTTGGATTAAATAGGATAATGGGTCAAGGAAAACATTGTAGTAGGCAGGTCCATAACCTGAAAAAGTAGTTTGCCCATTTGTGTCATGCATGTAAAAATTGATATACTTTATAAATTTTGTCAATCAATAAAATATTGCATATCTATAATGTATATTATAGACTCCACAGATTTGCAAAGCCCTTTTCCATAAAGCATGTTGTAGAGTTGCCAATAATTTTATTTTGACACCAAAATATTACCTAGTTAATACTCTTGTTTTCATTTCTCTCTCCAGTCACTAGTGCCATGATGCAAAGACTTGTCTATTGACCTGTTCATGCTCCTGGACAGCCTCTGCAAGGGCTAGTTGTTAATGACCCAATAGATATAGGCCTGCACCAGATCCCTGAGGTAGTGCATGTGACGACAACTGGACAAATCTTAGACATGCATGAGCTGGGAGTGTTAGAAATCTAAGGTAAGCAGGAGTCAGGAACAGTCTGAGTCAGGAAGAGAAACCTCAAATAACACAAAAGGAAAATATCAGTATAATCAGGTTTGAACTTTAAATGAAAACCACTAAGACTGCTTCTTTGAGACACTATAAATGCAAAAAACAAACAACCCTAACTGTACAGTTAAACATTGAGTTTTCAATCGAATAGGTGTTTCAGTTCTAAGCAACTTGAACATTTCTAGTCTCAGTGTGCATTTCTTCCAGCTAAAGCATCGCTTCCTATATTTTCCATTTTGTTACTTTTTAAAAATTAGCTCAAAATGCTGTGCATCTGCACCAACCATTTTTAATTAAAATTTTAATGTAAAATAAAAAATAGAGTCAAATTTAAGGTTGCAATCATTAAAGAAATAATGCAAACATCTATTTTATATTTTCTCTATTAAACATTTCTCTGTTTTAATGAAGATTATTTTTTAGCATAGTTAATGTTTTTAATTTGGAGGAAGATTTTAATTTCAATCAGCATTAGAATAAATTTAAATTGTTTTTATTTGTTTTAATAATCCAAACTTACCTCTAATTATAGATTGGTCATTTAGCATATTTTTTAAAGTTCTCAGATTATAATATTTCATAAGTAAATATTGATGCCGGTCAGTTTTTTGCACAGATTGAAATTAGTTTTGCATTTTTAAAAGACAAATTGAACTATTTTTGGACCCAATCCTTTCTACCTGTGTTACCTAACAGAGGAATCCTAATGGTAAGCCAGAGTCAAAATTGAAATAACAATAATAGTAACATTTCAAAAAGTATCTTAATCTTCTCTGGAAAATTCTTCTCACCCTGAGGGAAACAAACAGTTTAAAGTAGAATAGAAGGAAAAAAGACAAAGCGCAATGGAAGAAATGATAGCATTTGTGATCTTAATTTATAATCTCACAGCATTGAATATCTCCTAGCAAAATGTTGGGCTGTTGTCATATAGATGTTGTTTTTCAGCCAAAAAATTTTATTGAGTGCCTGAACTAAATATATTTTCATGCTTTTGTTGTTGTTTTCTTGGTATCTTAGGCTCCTTAAAAAATGTATATTCAGCACAGAAATTTAAAAATAGTTTTTCTTAGACAGATTTATTTATAACTGCTTTTGTGGTTTTGAAGATAAACCCAGGGACACTCTAATAAAGGTTACTTACTGAGTAGTGGTCATCCTTATGTTTTTGGAAAGGAAATATGTTACAGAACAAGGAAGTAGCAGCTAAATCAAATGGAGCTACAGATTGGCATATTGCTTGATTTATGTTTTCTTCATCTCATCTACATTGTAAACACCTAAGTAGCTATTTTTTCAGAATACTAAATCTCATGCATTGACCTACTCTTCTGATCTATATCAGCTTCTTCTACAAGTGTTGAGAGTAAACAGTATTGAGACATGCTTGAAAAGTATATGTTGTAAATGGTACACACATTAAAAAAGAAAAGGCATTTTTTTCTGTTCATAAATAATATGATTTAGATTGCAGGGCACCAAATTAACTTTTAAAAAGGAGGCTTTGACCATTAGCATACCATGTGACATATAGCATGAACCAGATGGTACTAAGAGAAAAGCTCAGTCTTTCTCTTCTAAAAAACATCTCCTAATTTACTTGCCCTTTCTTTCTACTTCTTATTTACAAAACAATATATACTAATAATAAGACACTGAATTCGTTTTCTCTCTTGCAGTCTAAGAATTGACCCCAAACCATAAATTGTAATAATGTTCCTTGCTGTTCTGGAATAAAATGGGGGAAATGAGCATTCCTTTGAAAACTCTTGTTAACAGTTTTACACTGTGTACTTGACCATTCATTGTCCCCTGTTTTCATTCAGCAGAGATAGATGATTGAAATCTTCAATTCCACAGGTAAATTAAGCACTAATACTATTTTCTAAGGAAAAAAAGTAAACAGATAAAATTGCATGCATTTTCTTGCATATGTAATTTTGCATCAACAAGTGAACATTTCATTTGCAGCTGGCTAAATAGGAATAATGGACCAATAAAACACCACATGTATCACCTTTGAATAGTCTCTATAGTACAGGCACAGTTACATTAGCAACCAAAATGAATGCCTCTCAAAATCTGGCCAATGGAAATAATATGGATTACCTGGCACTTTTAATTGTTCTATGATCAAAAATAGGCTACAATGCAGAACTTAATTTCCAAGCAAATTCAATGCCAGTGATTTGTACTGATATAGAATTTCTGATATATACCAGTTTTCAGACCTGAGGACATCAAAGACACCTGATCCTCAATGTCCCACAGAAATAAAAACTGATCCAGATACAGGTGACAATAAATTCAAACTTTGCATGAAAACTTTTTGCTTTATAATGCTACTTACATTTCTAGATATGTTAATATCTATTAAAACAACACATCACACAGCACCTTTCCTTCTATATCTTGAAAAACATACATAAGCAAGAATGAAAGGAAAAAAGAGGTTGTTAGAAAAGTCCACAATCTTTCAGATTCTCTTTGATTATTATATCTGTAACTGCATCAAACACGAACTTGACATTTTGGGTATCTGTAGCACAGGTCATGTGGGAATAAATTTCCTTATCTTCTTTTCTTAAATTCAGGTCTAGAAACTGGTTCTTGATGTAGTTCCCTGCATCTTCAAATGTATTTGGCCCTTTTTAAAAAAGAAATTAAACATTAATTGCATAAGAAATAAAATTATAAATAATATCAGTAAGTTTTAAGATTGTACTTTGTGTGCTTCTATTTAATGTACTCTGTACTAAAAAGTCAATATTGGCAATTCTCAATTATCTGGGATTTATGTAATGCCTACTTTGTGCTGGGAACTATACTTAACCACTGAGGACTTCAAGTGGCTAATATTTAACCTCGACATCAATAGAGGAGAAATACTAATATATTTACACAACCAAGTAAGTGAGTAATGAAGCCTCTATATATATATCAAAGTATGTGCATTTAGTTTCATATGAACAAAATGAAGAAAAGAATAAAAGTTACAAAGTAAACTGCAGAATGAGGTGGTATTTGAGCTAGACCTTAAGGAATAGCTAGAAGAGAACAGAAACATTATATGAGTGAAAACCAAAAGTGAGAGTGAGAATGGCCTGTACCACTAGACTTCAGGGTCGAGTTGAGAAGTTAATGTGCATTTTGGAGAATTGGGTTTGGTAACAATGAAAGATTTTCATAGAGGGACTGTAGGAAGTCAAGTAGAGTAGGTGGTATGGGCCAGATTATGAACTATGTTGCTAACTAAACAAAGCAGCTAAAATGAGAAATGTAAGATAGAGAACTATTCTTGACTGATGTTTTAGTAAAGTTAAATAAAGAGCCAATGAAGGCTGTGCTTAAAAGGAAGTTAGACTAGTAGCAGGACACACAATGGATCAATTGGGAAAGGCAGAAATAAAATAAGAAGGCTAACAAATACAGGACACCTAAAAATGACCTACTTGTGGCTTTAGCAGAATGTGCTGAGTGGGTACCTAACACAGGAGAGAATGGTAGCATAAAGATTTTCCAAGAAGGTAAGATTTTATTTATTATTACCAGGAGAAAAATTCCACAAGGGACGATCTTGTAACAGCTAAGATTCCAAAACACTGACAACACCAAATGCTGGCAAAGATGTGGAGCCATAGGAGCTCTTATTTATTGCTGATGGGGATGCAAAAATGATACAGCCACTTTTGAAGGCAATTTGTCAATTTCTTAAAAAGTTAAAGGTAGTCTTATCATATAATCCGGAAATTGTACTCCTAGGCATTTACACAATAACTTATGTACACACAAAAACCTGCACATGGATGTTTATAGTAGCTTTATCCATAATTGCCCCAAACGGGAAGCAACCAAGATATCCTTCAATAGATGAAAGGATACAGAAAGTGGTTTGTTTAAAGAATGAAATATTATTCCACAATAAAAACAAATGGGCTATCAATCCATGAAAAGGTATGGAGGACATTTAAATGCATATTGCATTTAATATTGAAAAGTGAAAGGCATTAGAAAATGCCACATACTGTATAATTCCAGCTATATGACATTCTGGAAAGGGCAACACTATAGAAACAGTGAAAATAACAGGGGTTTCCAAGGGTTGGAGGGCGGGCGAGGAGAAGTATGAATGTGGAGCACAGGGATTTGTAAGGCAGTGAAAGTGTTCTGTATAACACAGTAATGGTGGGCACATAACAGGCATTTGGTAAAACCCATAGACCTGTACAACACAAAGACTTAAGGCTAATGCAAACTGCTGACTTTACTTACTTATTTATTTACTTATTTATCTACTTATTTATTTATATATTTTATTGATTTTTTACAGATAGGAAGGGAGAGGGATAGAGAGTTAGAGACATCGATGAGAGAGAAACATCAATCAGCTGCCTCCTGCACACCCCCCACTGGGGATGTGCCTGCAAACAAGGTACATGCCCTTGACTGGAGTCAAACCTGGGACCCTTCAGTCCAGAGGCCGACCCTCTATCCACTGAGCCAAACCTGTTAGGGCGAAACTGCTGACTTTAGTTAACAATATACCAATATCTGTTCATCAACTGTAAGAAGACTGCAGCAATGCAAGATGTTAATAATAGGGGAAACTGTGGGAGCTGACCAGAGAGAAGGAGTATATGGGAACTCTGTATTTTCTCTTCTAAACTAAAAACTGCTCTAAAAAGTAAACTCTAGTAGTTAAAAGAAAGCACTATTGTAAGCCTATATTTAATTTGTAATATTCAAGCCCTAGCCTGTTTGGCTTAGTAGATAGAGCGTCGACCTGTGGACTGAAGGGTCCCGGGTTAGATTCTGGTCAAGGGCACATGCCCGGGTTGCAAGCTTGACCCCCAGTGTGGGGCATGTAGAAGGCAGCTGATCAATGATGTTTCTAGTTCTCTCTCCCTCTCCCTTTCTCTCTGAAATTAATTCAATAAAATAGAAATTTATAATATTCAATACAGAATCATGATATTTAATCATATGATAAATGTGTGAACATATAATTAATATTTATAAATGCAGAAGAAAGATACAAGCACTAACTATAGACTAGCACATATAGTTACTTTGACAGAATGCCATAGTCCTAGTAACATCTGGGTTACTCATGTATCAAGTGGTGAAATTGCTTGTATTTGTGTATAAATCATAAATATTTCCATCTTACCCAATTTTACTGACAACAGAGCATATAATAGCAAAAAAAAAAAAGTTTCCAAAGGGAAAATAACCCTTCTAGAGAACCTGACATTTATAATTACTGATTAATAGGATCAGCACTAAAACTCTAGGTCCTAGATTCTAGGACAATTAGAAAAAGAAAGGGTGTCACTATTCTCAAATTCATTCATGCTATCCTTCAGGAAATTTAATTCAGACTTTGAGGAGGCACTGAGATCTAATACAGCATTCCAAGGCTTCATTAGGAAATATATGAAAAATTCCAGTTTGAAATAAAATTTACATTCCTATTACAATGTTTAATGTTTGCAACATCATTTGATACATTACTATGGAGTAGCAACACCAGTCTATCTAACCATCTCCTATTTATTTATTAGAGCTTTGCTTTAATGCAGACAAAGTAGGAATGTTTTCTCATAAAATTCTTTCCAGTTTGGATCACACACATGACTCAAAATGTACTACAAGCCTCAACCTCATAAATATTGCATGTCAAGATCCAGATAAGGAAATATGTATCTATATAAGTTTTTACTACTCTGTAATTATATGAAAATTATCTTACCAGTGTACTCTGGAAAGCAGACACTAAGATGCACTTTGGTGACTTTTTCTTGAAAGAGATCTTTTTTATTGAGAAACAGGACAATGGAGGTGGTGGCAAAGTACTTGTGATTACAGATACTATTGAACAGGTGAAGGCTTTCATGCATTCTGTTCTGTTTGGTTTAAAAGATGAGAATGTGTAGAATTATTATTTGCAAAATATTAATCTTGGACATGATAAACAAGGATCTAGAAATAACACCTTTGGAAGGCCTTAATTGCGTTGGAAAATGTGGTAGTAATATTGCAAACTGAAAATGCTTGTTTTTCACCCTGGCCTTATGTTCCTTTTAGACTTACCGCTTCTTCATCTTCCACCAGGACCATGTCATAGGCACTGAGAGCTGCACAAAATATAATGCATGTAACTCCTTCGAAGCAGTGAATCCATTTCTTTCTCTCAGATCTCTGTCCACCAACATCGAACATTCTTAAAAAAATAATAATAGAATAACAAAACTTGCAAATAGCCTCCAAAATTCTCATTAAGATTAACTTTTAGAATTTTAACTGGATACTTTTATATCTCTAAAAGGTAGTCTTTTGATTTTTATTCATTATAAAATACATCTTCTTTGTCCAATTTTCAGCTCAAGGACTAAAGAAGAAATTTCATCATTTTCTTTTTTTACTTCATGCAAACTATAGTAAAATAAATCACACACTGACTTTGAGCATGTGGGAAATTTAAGGTAGCTTAGAGTTTTAGTAAGAAATTGATTAGCCTTGGGAGATTTTGATCAAAGTTTATATATAGTCTTAAATTAATATAACCCACAAGAAGATTGGAAACTATCATAGTTCTGATAATATAATTCCTGGGCTGTTTTCTTAGCTCTTCCTACATTCATTCATTCAAATGATTATTGAACTTGATCATGATTGGAAGAATTAATATTGTTAAAATGCCCATGCTACAGATTCAATGCAATCCCTATCAAAATCCCAATGGTATTTCTCAAAGAAATAGAACAAACAACCCTAAAATTTGTATAGAACCACAAAAGACCCAAATAGCCAAAGCAATCTAGAGGAAGAAGAAGAACAAAGCTGGAGGCATCAAACTCCTTGATTTCAAACTATATTGCAAAGCTAAATTAATTAAAACAGTATGATATTGGCATAAAAAGACACATAGACACAATGAAACAGAATAGAGAGCCCAGAAATAAATTCATGCACTAGACATTGTGCTAGACCTACAGCCACAAAGATGAAAAAATATCCTCACTATCTTCAAAGCGCTCTCTGTGTGATAGAGAGAAAAACAAATACATTTTTATAATAATATTTAATAAAATTCTAATCTACAAGGTAGAGTGTGAGCCTAGAGGGAGATTTACTTCAGCCTGTGGGATCATGAAACTTACTCAGAGGAGGTGTTTGAATATTTGGTTCTCCTTCTGTTTTTGTATTTTGGCACAAGGCACCAATGTGGACATGGCAATCCAATACAGAAACTACATTTTTAATGCCCCACATCCCCTTACCATCCATTTAGAACACATCAAAAATGCAGTTTCTAATTCAACCACTTCTTTCCAACTCTTTTCCTCCTGGATAAGCCACCAACATTTCTGACCAGGGCCATTGCCAGAGGTCTACTACTCAATGGCATCTTTTCCACCTTAGAATCAAACCCAAACTGGTTTAATGACCACTAAGGCCACAGCAGTTTTGGTTCTTGCTTACCTATCCAAGTTCATACCATGTTCCTCTTTTTAATACAGCCCAATCACAAGGTTATTCTTTCAGTTCCTTTAATATAAACCTAAATTTTGCTATTTCAGGACTTTTGTAGTCTGTCTCCTTTCCATGTGACATGATTCCCCTTTTCCTTATGTAACACTTCTTTCTCAACAGGTCTCAGTGTTAATGTCTCCTCCACCAAGAAGGCTCTCTCCATCCCTCACTTACTTTCTATCACACCACTCTCTTAATTTCCTTTATAGTAATTGTCACAATCAGTCGTTAACTGGTTTAGTTATTTATATGTTTTACATATTTAGTATCTGTTATCTCCCTAATAGAATAGTGGCCTCATGAGGACAGGGACCTTATCTATAGTAGTGATGGCTATATCCCCAGTGTCAGGCACTATCCCTGATGCACAATAGACATGCAATAAAAATGTGCTAAATAAATGAGTATATTCCAGGTTAATGGCATGGAGGGGGTATTTTAATGTAAAGTGCATGTGTAAGGAATGAGAGAACATGGTGTGTTGTGGATATCATTAAGTTTAAGTCTACTTACTTTGAACCAGAGGTCCCCAAGTAGGACATATTATCTGATTGTCTCAAACCCTCATCGAGTGAATTGCAATTACCTTTGCTGTGGAGTCTGTCCTTTCTCCTCTGGTCAGATGGTTCTATGTGGTGCCAAACAGGTCACTGGGCAAATTCTCCACCTTTCAGGTGTTTTGTTTCATTTCTCTAATGGAGATACTGTAGACAGTCTGTGTTCTAGGTGTTTCACATATTCTCCATTTAATCATATATAAATACATGATGGATCATTTGTTGGCAAAGAAATGTGATACTGTCATTGGACAAAAATGCATTAACTTGTGGATTAACTTGGTGAGTTGAGGATGGAGTGTACATCACCAGGTTTAAACTTATGGTGGGCTTTGTCAAACTAAATCCACCCCTTGTATTCCCACCCACTCAATTTTAACATGTAAGAACCTCCATAATTCTTGTTTCTTTTTTTGCTCTAATCCTCTCGTCAGGGTTTGCTTCCATGGTGGGTATTATAAAGGAGAACTAACTAATCACAGAGCCAGGACAAAAGTCACTGGATGAATGGGATATTTGTTCTGAGCGCCAAATATTCAGATTTCACAGTAAGAATGATGGAACCAATTTCCAAGATATCTTGATTAAGTTTTCCCTATTAAACAGGGCTTGGATTAGTCCTATTAGCATTTGTTTGGGGCATCTTTTATCTCCTTTTATGGACAATGAACCTATCTTCATCTATTCTGATTGATACTTTCTTTATTTAATCACATTTATATTTTCAATCAGATATACTCAAATTTTGCAAATCTGAGAATATTCTTAATGTGACTTTAGATAACTGCTCAGATTCCCTGCATGGTAACCAAATATTTTATCTCTGAGAGGATAATCTTGTTTCTCTCATGTCGATATATTTTTAATTTAAAAATAATTTACAGAGAGTCCCTAGTAATGCAAACATTATAGAACTGAAATGTTCATTAGCAAATCAGACCAATAGCTGGAGTTTTCCTTTTATATAGATTTTTCAGGATATAATGTTAGTTCTAAGAAAACTTGCATTATGCTTTTCTGCTGTTGTCATAATTTATTTTTCATACATCACTTTTCACTTTAGTGTTTTCTCTAAATTTTTATTTGAGGCTTATTTTAGAGCTATAAAGCATAACATTCTATTGATACAATTTGAAGATTTCCAAAGTAGAGCATTTATTTATTATACATTTCACTGAAGCAGTGATTTTATATATGTGTGTGTGTTTATATTCCATCATGACCATTCTGTGAAAAACAAAAATAAACACAAAGAACACATATACTTGCTGATGAACATTTGGTTTGGGCTCATCTATATGGGCAATTAATCTGGTGAATGGACATGTGATACAGCTTGAATACCCTTAATTCCCTAAACTGTTAAGGTTACCAGAGTGCCATAACAGTGATTGGAACTTGCAGTTCTCATTTTGGGTAAAGGATTTTGTTCTTGTTTTTGGTAATATATATTTTCTTATTAAGTAAGGTACTTAAGCTAGAATTCTTTTTAAAAAAAAAACTTTTTAAATGCCTGAAATGTATGATGGAGCTGTAAATTGACTGGTCAGGCTTTTAACTCATAGCAGAACATCAATAATTTGTTAAATTGCCCATAGCATTAATATAGGGCAAGTCATCAAAGTTTTATAGCTTTATATTAAGCAGTTGACTAAACATTTGAGTTTATAGTCTATTATAAATTTTTGAGTTTTATGGGTTTATGGTAAACAATTGGCTAAATATTTACCACACAAGATTATTCATACTCCATATCAGAATAGATTATTATTAATCTGCCCTTTACAGTGCTTACAAAACCATTATATGACATAGGATAGCTAAAAATAAATAATGCTACTGCAGTTAATTTATTTGTTAAATGTTTTTGCTCATCCTATAAGCATGTGATTCTCTTAGAAAAATTATAATTATTGACATCTACATATTTGACCACACAAAAAAATAGATCTAATCTGAGTAGGAATTTATTTAAATTATTTACTTAAAGTATTATTTTAAATTATTAAATTATGATATTTATTCAAGATACTTGGTTTTAGCACAATTGACATAACCTCTTAAGATGGCTACATGACAGGTCAACAGGTGGATCTGTGTCATCACTACAGAGACATAGCAAAATGGCCTAATCAAGTCTTTGTCTTGTGCCCTGTTCTAAAAATCAGGGTAGACACTTGCAGACATAAAGTATATGCACAGAGGTCATTCTAAAATCCTTAATTATTTGGGGTTAAAAAAAACAGAATCAAAAGGACTTACAACTATGAGGGAGCCAGGGTCTCTAAACTCCCATAATTTTTAGTACCATTATATACTTTTTGCTAAGTCTGTATGCATGTTTGGAACTTAAAATGCCCATTATGTAATTCTCTAATTATTGAATAGTATAATTTATAAATTCATTAAAATAAATTCTATCACTAGAATAAATTACACATTATGTTCTATAACTTATTATTTTGGTAATATTAACCATAAACATAACTTAATCAAATAGATAGTATACATGAGTTATTGCTCTATGAGACCTAATAGAGAATAACAAAGCTGAGTTGAAATATAGCTGCTGGGTAGACACCAGACTCACTCCTGAGCTAAGATGAATCTACCTCCCAGAAATTAACACAGTGCGCATGACTCAACTTCAAATTCAGGAAAATTATAATTTATTTTATATGATATCCATTCGAATGTTGAAAATAATTATATTAAATTTAAAATATCTCAAGCTTTATGTTGTAATATTTTCTGACCTCTTTTCATTGACTTCTGTATAGTTTTATGTTCTGTCAATTGTTTTTTAATCATGGAAAGTGACTTCTCTATAATTGTTTAATAAATTCTGATAAATCTGTAAGTTCTTTGTCCTGAGGAATTATTTTACAAAAATAAGAGGTCTTGCATTTGCATTGCATTTTCCATTTACACAGTATTTTAACACCTGTAAAGGTAATTAATTTTATCAGTTTGACAGTGGCGTTCTGGTTTGATAAGAACTCTAAGGTAATTTCCACTAAATTAGGTGATACAGGAAAATGATACAGTACATTGGCAGAGATAATTTTTCATTTTGAAGTTCCTGTTTAAAATTCCTGAATACTCTAATTTAATATGTAAATTAAGTATTTGGTTTTTAAATAGTGATATGATAATTTATGGTATGTGAATACAAATCAATGCTAATGCACTATATTTTAGTACCTGGGCGCTTTCTGAAATAAATTGGAATGTACATTGTTTTTATATTTCCTGTTTGAAATACTAAAAAATTTTAGACTACAAATGCCTGTATGCTTTTAGATAATCTTATTCAGCACTTCAAAAAAAGGAAAAAAGGTGACTTAACTGTGAGAATTTATTAAGGGATTAATATTGCTCTGACTCAACTTAAAAACATATTTAATTGATTTTAAAGAATTCCCTAAGTCCCAGCTGGTGTGGCTCAATGGTTGAGCGTCAACCTATGAACCAGGAGGTCACAGTTCGATTCCCGGTCAAGGCACATGCCCAGGTTGCAGGCTCAATCCCCAGTGGGAGTTGTGCAGGAGACAGCCAATTCTCTCTCATCATTGAGGTTTCTACCTTTCTCTCCCTCTCCCTTCTTCTCTGAAATCAATAAAAATATATTTTAAAAAAGAGTTCTATAAAAAGTATAACTGTGTTCTTTAATATTTTTATAGTAAAATTTAAATATTTAAAAAATATTTTGTAGAGAAATTTCCTGCATTCTCTTCCTCATAGAAGATGCCTTTAATAACTTACCCTCTTGAGTCAGTGAGAAAGAAAAACCTACTAAGAAAAGAAAAGAGCTGAAAAGTGGTTTTAGTGGATGGCAAAGAGGTAGTAGTTGTGTAGTGTAGGAATTCCTATCCTATAGAATAAAAGCCTAATATGCAAAAAAGAAATGGAAACTAAAACTAGGTGAAAGATTTCCCCAGGATCATATGTAGAAGTACTAGAAATGTGATTAGCATGCACACATTTCTAATTTCAAAGACTGCACTTCTTACACTGCATATCACTGATGGGCTATGGATAAATTGGGATGGAAACTATTCTTTCTCTATAATGCATCTGGCATGTGCTTCTTCTAGTATTGTTGGTCATTCATAAGTCCCTTCAGAGAGAAGAGGGAAAGGGGGATAAAATCAAATGACAGCCTGTTGGGGAGATATCTCTGAGCTGGCAGGCCCCTCTGGGACTTGACAAGCCTGTGCTTCTAAAACCAGGGCACATGATTGCCAATGAACTCACTAAACCTCAGAAGTCATGTTCATTTCCTGGAACATCTATTTCACTCAGAACTAAATATAAATATTCATAAATTTATAAAGCAAATATTCTGAGTAGTATACATTTGCATTTTAAAAATAACACAGTGTTTTAAATATATTTTTTCTCACAATAGGCCTCTCCAGGAAATGAACATGACTTCTGAGGTTTAGGGAGTTCATTGGCAATCATGTGCCCTGGTTTTAGAAGCACAGGCTTGTCAAGTCCCAGAGGGGCCTGCCAGCTCAGAGATATCTCCCCAACAGGCTGTCATTTGATTTTATCCCCCTTTCCCTCTTCTCTCTGAAGGGACTTATGAATGACCAACAATACTAGAAGAAGCACATGCCAGATGCATTATAGAGAAAGAATAGTTTCCATCCCAATTTATCCATAGCCCATCAGTGATATGCAGTGTAAGAAGTGCAGTCTTTGAAATTAGAAATGTGTGCATGCTAATCACATTTCTAGTACTTCTACATATGATCCTGGGGAAATCTTTCACCTAGTTTTAGTTTCCATTTCTTTTTTGCATATTAGGCTTTTATTCTATAGGATAGGAATTCCTACACTACACAACTACTACCTCTTTGCCATCCACTAAAACCACTTTTCAGCTCTTTTCTTTTCAGAGAATCATTGATCGGCTGTCTCCTGCTTGCCCCCTACTGGGGTATTGAGCCTGCAACCTGGGCATGTATCCTGACCGGGAATCAAACTGTGACTTCCTGGTTCATAGGTCAATGCTCAACCACTGAGTCATGCAGGCTGGGCTTACTAGTAGCTTCCATTTCTTGGGTCTTGATTCTACATAAGGATTGCAATGCCCAGCTGGTTATATTACAGTGAGGGTGTAAAGATAATGTACATAGAGTGTTTGAACTAGTACTTGTATTCATCTAGCAGGAATTGACTGTGTGCTCACTCTGTGCTAGCCATGCTGATAATCAAAGACAGAGCTGTAAACAGACACGGCCCTTGGCCTCCTAGAGCTCAGAGTGTATGAGGCAGAAACAGAAACAGAAAGAGTGAACTGATAAAGAAACAATTTCATATATTGGTTTTTCAAAAGAAAAAAAATGTACTTTAATATATCAATGATAGGACGCCGGCTCACATTGGTGTAGCTAGTAAGTGCTGTTTCTTTGCAATTCTTCCCAGCTGTACATGAGTGACAACATGTTGGTCAGTTGAAATTGGACGTTGTCAGGTTATTTACACCAAGGAAGTAATCAAGGGCCACAGATAAGCCTTCCCCGTCTCCCTGCCCCCGAGAGCTTGCTCTTATACTTTTACCAGCACACTGCTGAGTGTAGTAGTGACAGGGATATGCAAGGATGATTAATAGATAGGATGGTCAAGGCTCGCTGAGGAGATAGCATTTGATTCGAGGACTTAAGAAGGAGCCAGTCCTTGCTGACATCCAAGGTCAGAACATTTTAGGCAAAGAGAACAGCAAGTACAGAGGCTCTGTGCCTTGAATGTTGAACGAACAGCTATTTATAAAAAAAAAAAAAGAGAGAATTTATGATGGTGCCTACCTATTTCTGAGAAGATAGTAACAGACCAGGGTTTCTGAGAATGACCAGGGTTGCGAACTTCTAGGTGTTTGATATGTGACATTAATTTTCATAACTGACTTATGAACCAGACGATCTAGGATCTGGGGGATTTTATTAGCTTATGTAAGACATGCTAACATCAAGTGATAATTTTCTGCTAGGACTTTACAATAAACTCATTAGACAAGTAAAGAAAAGGGGCCTTTGTTCCTCAACAACTGCTGTTCTTTAATGGAGAGCCTGGGGGTGAAAACTTGGAAGGAATAGACTCAAGGCTTATACCTACCTTTTGTGTTTCAGTGAGAAATGTGGAGAGGAGGGAGGAGAGTAAGAAAGAAAAGGCAAGTGTGCCAGAAATGCTTTGAGAGACCTCAGGCAGGCAGAGGACAGAGCAATTGGAGTTGAGCTCCCAAAGGAAAACCCCAGAAACTAGAGCACAGATCAGGAGACTGGAGAAAGTAGTTGCCAAAGAGGAAATGCTCCATAGTGATGACAGGACTGCAGATAAGCTTTGCTTACCACCTAACCGACAGGGGATGTCAATCCCAGTCTTTGCAGACCTTTTACCCTGGTTTGCTCTTTCACTCACCTTTCAGAAATTAACTATTTGTGGGCCTGAGATTTAGGGATACATTTTGAAGAGCTTTCTTCCACACTAACTTGTAAATTATCCTATAATAACTATTGTAATTAGATATTGTGTATTACCAATTTTAATACTTAAAATGCCTTAAAATATTTTCCCACTAAAATGAATTTCCCCCACAAGTTAATACAAATAATTAATGTCACCTTTTTTTCTAGTTTTTCTACTTTCCAAAAATATTCTTATTACTGCATGCATGAATGACTTTATTAATTATACTTTACTGACTTTTTTTCATTACTAAAGGATACATATAGAACCTGGTTTTAATGCTTAATCTTTCACCTTATCCACAATTGGTAGGGAGAGGTGCTTAAGTTTCAAGGGACCCTTTCTACCTCCACAATACGGATTTTTATTTCTTGCTATCATAGAAGTGTTTTCCTTTGGTAGCTCAAGTCCAATTGCAATAGAATTTCTAAGATGGTCTTGATAATGCAATGACAACGAAAGGAATGGGATCGTTTTCATAACCAAACCGTACTGATAAAGTAGGCCTTGCTATTCCAGTAAATAGCATCATATTCAAATATAACTCTTTTCAGTTATTTGCATTTTTAAATTAAGGAAGTAAATTCATAAGAGTACTTCAAGCAAATGGGAGGGTTGGAAGGCAAAGGAAATAGGACCTCCAGCACCTGTTGCTTAAATGTTATTTAAATATAGTTTCTTTTTTAAGTGGGATATCAGTTTCAAGTATGAGGAAAGTAAATTCTAGCTCCCACCTGTTCTCGGAGGGAAGGATGGAGCTCAGGATGAGGGTCCATGTGTGAAGCTATAGGCAGGCAGGCAAGGACAGCGGAAAAGAAAGTAAACTAGGCCTATGAGCATTCCCAAGGAGTCACTGCACTTGAACATGAATTAGAGCTTTTCTCTGTGCAGAAATATTGAGCATGACATGTCTTTTATTAATAGTTAAAAATATATTTGCTTATACCTGAAATGCAGGTCTTTAAAGGAGAATTGAGTTTCAATGATTCCCGTTGTTTTCACTCGAGAATGTAGAACATCTTGCTCATTTGGGACATATCCAGGAGCTGTTATTCTGTCCAAATCATTAAGGTAGCTAGCAAAAACAAACAAAACAAAATAGCATATATATCTTTAATTTTGTAAATGATTTTTTATTGTTGTTTAGAGTCCATTAAACTTATAAAAATCCAGATTGGTGGTTTTCAAACTCTGCTCATCAGAATTATAAGAGCTTGGTGGCAAGGATGTTGCATTGCACTGAGTGTAGTACACAGCTGACCTGTGGGGGTAGGGACACTTTTAAAAGCAGATAGATAAATGTTGCCTTTGCTTGTATTTTATAAGGTGTATGTGACATACTTGCTGGTGTGTAGATAGACATTTAAGAGGAAAGTTCTCTTTATTAGACTTACATCATCCAAAAAGGTCACCTTGTAATTGTGATCACTAGACTAGTCTCAAAATGTTGTAGTTTGTATTTAGACACTGAATTTTAAGAGTGATTGATTTTAACATCATGATTTGAAAGTTGTTGTGTTGTTTTCCATGGATTTTTCTAGCTTAGGATTCTGAACAAATTTCACTAAGTTCCATGACTGTATCCACTTAGTCCAATAAAAGAAGAAATGTTTGACTTTCTTGCTTGTCCGCAGTGGAACTAATTCACGAAATTGCTGACCCACCCCTGAGCCAGTAGCACTCCTGGGGACAGAAAGCTGAACCTACACACTGCGCCCACTTCTACTTCCTCACTCTTCCCTCAGGGCATCAGTGTGTCACACTCTTCTCTGGAGGCCACTTTTAAAACCCTGCTATTACCAGGATGATTCTAGTCTCTTTCTGCTCACGGTGTCTAGGAGTGCTGAAAGGCAGGAAGAAGTCTGACTAAGCCCAGTGCTCTATAAGATGAATCTGTTAGATTAGAGGAAAGGAACTACTCTTAGCTTCATCCTTGAAACCAGATCCTAAAACAAAGTGTTTTATTGCTTTAAAAGCAGTTGAAAATCACTGTTCTAGATTTTTGATACTAAGGTTTTAGTAGCTTAGAAATATGGCTATTTCCGGGAAAATGTTAGAGGTAGCAATAGACCAGTAAGGTTTTTATGACAAAATTGTTCATTATAATGAACCAAGTTTACACATATGGCTTAAATAGAAAGATCATGATGGGCTTTCATGCATTCAGATAAAATTTAAGAGGTAGGATCCACTTGAATATTAATCATTTAAAAGTTGAAATTTCCAGGGACTAAGTTGAGGAACTGTTTATGTCTTAGCATCTAGCACAATGCCTTAAAAAAACAAAGCTATTTATCACTGGTTAAGAAAATAAATCCAACAGCAATATGGATAATTTATTCTTGAAGGATCTTTCTCGTTTTAAGCGGAAATAAACTTAGAATAGGCAAAAATTTTGGCCAAGGACAAATAGACAATCACAAGTTAGAAATACATATATGTAATAATGTGAAAATATGTCACTCTGTTTTATTCTGAGTTTAATTTATCTTTTAAAATGAGGAAAAATAAAGATATAAATATGTCAGAAGGAAGTATTGGAATATTTTTCTAGCTTACCTATTTTCTATTTTGTGAATCAAGTTTCTCTGTGCATTTTTTATGGAAAATTCTACATCGGTGGTAGGTATATTAGTGGTCAACTGATTCATGCAGAAGCAAAAAAAAAAAAATGAAACAAAACAGAAACGTACCTGCCATGATAGATATTTAATTTATTTTAATAATAGGCAAATGAATGTTTTGGTAGTCACATTTTAATGTACTTTTATTTGTATATATAAATCATTTCAAGCAAAGCAGAAGCATTAGCAGAGTGACAGATTTGCATTTAAAATGTTTGTTTTTATAAACAAATATATGATTTGGGTGCTCAACCCTGTAGACTAAATCTTAAACCAAACCACAGGCCCTAAATATGTATAAGACAAATCACTTAAAAATATCTAATTTTTTAATCATGTAAAAATACCATTTTTTTCTGGTCAAGTCTATGTTAAATCTTAAAACATATGCAATTTCAATAACACACTAGATAGTCTCAATGAGTAAATCATCAAATATTAATTAAAATATTTCCCTTGTTTGCCACTGTCATGATGCTTTTCCAAGAGTGTGCTAGTAGTGATGGGGGAGGTGCTATGTTGCCAACAAACAGTATTCTTTTTCCTTGCACTGCTTAGGACTCATCTCTGTTAGCTTCATCTTGAAGGGTATCTATGTTTGAGAGGATAACAAATATCTCACACACACACAAAAAAAGACAGATAGAGAAAGGAAGGAAGAAAAGAAGGGAGGGAGGAAGGAAAGGAGGGAGGGAGAGAGGAGGGGGGAGGGAGGGAGGAAGTAAAGAGAAGAGGAAAGGAAAAAAAAGAAGAAAGAGGAGGGAGAGGAAGAGAAAGAGACCATTGCTTTATATAATGATTCTGAAATATACATGAATATGGTACTGATTTGATATTATATTAACTAGTTTTAAAAATTGAATGTCATTCAGTATTTTAGGAAAATCTGTTAATTTTTGGAAGAAAACAAGAGCCATTCAGCTATTTTTCTTAGCCAGTTTTTACTCAATCATTCTTTAAAGGATCCCTAAGAACAAAAATGTTAATATTTAATTTCTCTTGATTTTATCTGAAATCATTTTTAGACATGGGGTGTATTATGTGGGTGGAATCAACTTTCCTGTTGTTATTCTACTGCAAGTAGATATTGTGTACACGTGTTTAGCTTGAAGAACAGATACATTGCTCTTAATATGAATCCATATTGTGATAGTCCCAGAACAAAACACATTTTATGTGTCAAAATAAAGAAAAAAACTAGAAAATACAATAAAATGTCATTTTGTCTGCCCATTTTGTCTATGATATATACATACTTTTTGCTATTCAAGAGCAAAGAACTTGGTAAACATATGATAATATAATTATAAATACATTTTAAGGGAAAATTATATTAAACAATAATGTGTATCTAAAACTAGTAACAGCTTTCTATCATTTATTTATCTAACTTTTCCTTCCTCCCATTTTGAACTTTGCTAACCAACTTTTAATGAAAATATTCCATATTTCAGTTTCTTATTAATTTTGACTGCTTTTTATCAATGATTCATATAAAAAAGCAATATTTTTCTATACTACCGACAACCCTCTTAGTATTAAAATGTGAATATGTACTGGGAAACTTATAAAAGCAGTTATATAAGCTTATATAATCATAAGATGATATTCATTCTTTACTTCATCAGTGAGACAAGAGTTGGTAAAGGACAATGCACCCATTGGGTTTGGGATTTAAAATGAACATAAATGAATAATCACAGAAGACTGATCTTTTCCTAGAATTTACACTTCTTTCTCTCTCCATAATCCTTCTGCCCATCATGATTAAAAATCTGAAGATCATGCAAGTTTTATTGTTCTGTCCTCAAATAATTTTGAATTTGTTTCACTTTCACATTTCTTACTCCTTATATTAAAAAATTAATATAAAAGTTGTTCCTCTACAGCAGCGGTTCTCAACCTGTGGGTCGCTCTTTTACATATTAATATGCATAGACAAAAATATAGAATATGTAATGAAACTATACTTACATACATGTACACACATACTTGTAGGCATGTGACCATGGGATAAGATAAGAACCAGTTACTAAAATGGAAACCTAAAATCATTTTGATGATGCAATTATAAATAGTGTCACAACTTCCTAATTTCCTTGTTGCTGATAAATGCAAACTGGATGAGAGCTATGAAAATTATATAGTCTTTCTTGAGACTCAAACAAGAATTCCACAATGTACCAGTGTTGTGAATATCAATACACTACTTTTTCTAGAACTCTTCGAATCAAAGCATGTGTCATTAATCTGATTACCTTAGACCATGACTTCAATAACATGAATAGAGATGAAATGAATAGCCCAACCTTAGTGTGCATGTCACCATGCTGTGTTTATGTTGAGCACGATGCAAAATAATTCATTATTTTTAGTTTGGAGAGAACATATCTAGCTAGCTAGCTAGCTATTTATTTATTAATGAATTAGTAGTCAATTGTCTTTTAAAAAATATATATTTTCATTAATTTCAGAGAGAAAGGGAGAAGGATAGAAAGATAGAAACATAAATGATGAAAGAGAACCATCGATGGACTGCCTCCTGCACGCCCCCACTGGGGATTAAGCCCACAATCCGGGCATGTGCCCCTTACCGAAATTGAACCCGGAACTTTTCAGTCCTCAGGCCAATGCTCTATCCACTGAGCCAAACAGGCTAGGGCACAAGGATTTTTTTTCTTTAATCTTACATAACATCAGTAATCCAGTTATAGAGCAGTTCTAGGGTAGTTCAGAGATTAAATGCTTTCTTAAAGGAACTGAGCTTCCCCCCCCCCCTAAATTTCTGCTTGCCATTATCAGTGAATAATCTTGGTAGCTGCAAATGCTACAAGTATAATAAGGCATGTGCCCTGACCTGGAATCCAACAGTGACCTCCTGGTTCATAGGTCGACACTCAACCACTGAGCCACACTGGCTGGTCTTGAAAACATATTTAAAACATATAGATCTTCTCAGGAAAATAATTTCAAAATTAGTTATTTAAAACGAGAGGCCCGGTGCATGACATTCGTGCACTGGGGGTGGGGTGGGGTGGGGGAGGGGTCTTTCAGCCTGGCCTGTGCCCTCTCGCAGTCCAGGACCCCTCACTTCTTGCCGCCCACCTGCTTGCTGTTCCTTACCCCTCGGCTCGCTGCTCCTTAGCACTGTGCTCGCCCGAGGTGAGCCCGGCTTCTGGCTGCGTGGCGCTCCCCCTGTGGGAGTGCACTGACCACCAGGGGGCAGCTCCTGCATTGAGCATCTTCCCCTGGTGGTCAGTGCGCATCATAGCAACCGGTCGTTCTGCTGTTCGGTTGATTTGCATATTAGGGATTTATTATACAGGATGCTCCCCGGTTATATTTTTTTGCATCTCATTTACATCATTTTGATCTTTTTTATTTCTCTTGAATTACTTTTTATTTTCGTATAATAAATAGAAAAGCCATTTATTTTTCTTATTTGTGAGTATGAGTGCAGAATATACAGTTATAATTCTTAATTGTAAATATTTCCACTGCAATTCCTGTAAAAATGTATTCACTTACTAAGCTGCTGAATCGTTGAGCTGATACTCAGCTGACCTTTCAAAGCAGGCCTGAATCCCTGGATCTCTCCACAGCCGCTTTATTACCTCCGCCAGGTCCCGCGTCATTCCTCCATCTTCTAGGGTATTTGCCATCGCATAAAGTTGTCTTTGGTCTTCCTATGGCAATGTTTTTATGAAAAGAATAAAAATGTGTCATTATTTGAAATCACATATTCTTTTTTTAAAATAGAACATTTAAACTGGATGATTTTATATTATTTCTTTAGGTAATAATTCCATTGAACATGTAAACAATATATCTAAAGTGCCTTATGATCACTGGCTAATACCCAAAAGAGTTCTCCATTGCAAAAATTAATAGATTTAAGTATTATAATAAAAAGGTAGGATATTTTGTTATATATTTTGCTATAAATCATTAAGTTTTGATTATGATGTAAAAAGGGATAACAATAGCTTGGTATAAGTCCATCGAGCTCTCAGATGGTCAAATGCTCATAAAAGGGTAATGGATCTGATCTAAATTGGCGCATAGTGTTCCTTTGATAATGGCCACATTTTTTCCCTAGGAAATAAAAATATCAAATAAGAATTAGAGAAATGGAAAATAAAACTCAGTATTCTAAAAATCATACTTAAAAATTGATATACAATATTATTTGCCATCATGTACCTCTTTGTAATCATATTACTAATGGTAAACATTTAAATATACTCAAAATTTTGAACGTCCAATGTAGTGCTGTTAATTGCATGCCTTTGGGGGCAAATTAATAGGGCAGAGTTAAGACAATGAAAAAAAAAAGAGGAAAATAGAGAAGAAAGCAAAAATTGTGTTAGTCCTGATAGAATATTTGGAGTTGACAAGGGCAGATATAAAAGTACACTGAGTAAATAATACAGTCCACAGTTTACCTAAACTATCAAGTCTGTTTTGTAACAAAAATATTTTAAGAATAAGAATTTGAATTTCACAATAATCGTTGACCAATATAGACCAGGCAAATGAAGTCTGGGCTCATATTCTCCTTGTCTGATTCCAAAGCTCTTACTCTTTCCTGTACATATTCTTATACTCCAAGACAGCACATGTAATATCTCACACAATCCTCACAAACAGTCGCATAGACACTATATTTTTTCCCATTTTACAAATGAGGAATCTAAGAGTCAGTGCTTAATTTGATGAGCCAATAAAGAAAATAAGCATCAGAAGAAGAGTCAAAAAAAAAGAAGAAGAAGAAGAGTCAAACCCAAATATATTTTGTGAAATGTTAGGAGTATCTCCAATAAGAACTTGCTGGTTTTCTGATACAATTTAATTTATTGTTCTTATTGTAAATTGATGCCAATTTATTTCACTGTTTTATTAAAAATCTGCTGAGAAACATAAGGGTATGTTTCTCAATGTTAGAGAGAGGCTCTCTTAAGATTAAAAGCCTTATTTTTGTCTTTCTTCACATTGAGATTTTATTGCCAAACCAAACTGATCAAATGACCATTAGGCCAACATTTTTAAACCCCATTTTCTTGCATCAGCATTGGGTAAGTTTTAAATACTTCTTCCTGATTATTTGGCTATGAGAGAGAACTGCAAAGCCAATAAAATATGATGCAGCCACTTTTGCTGACATTATCTCATTTGCCTCTTTCCACTATTAAAATGCCTTTTAGGAGAAATGATGCAATGAGACAGTTGCTCAAACAGTTTTGTCCATACAGGGGAAAAACTACATGCCTTGTTAGCATCCTATAATAAAAGCCTAATATGCTAAGTGTCCGGTAGTCGATCATCCGTTCAACCAAGCAAAGCGTAATATGCTAATGATATGCTAAGCTGCTCAACCGCTCACTATGACGTGCACGGACCACCGAGGGGCAGATGCTCCGACTGGTAGGTTAGCTTGCTGCTGGGGTCTGGCCTATTGGAACTGAGTGAGATGGGCTGGATATGCCCTGGAGCCCTCCTGCAGCCTCTCCCTGGCTGGCCATACTCCTGTGTCCCTCCCCAGCCCTGATTGTGCACCAATGGGGTCCCTCAGCCTGGCCTGCGTCCTCTCACAATCTGGGACTCCTCAGGGGGTGTTGGAGAGCCAGTTTTGGCCTGATCCCACAGGCCAGGCTGAGGGACCCCACTGATGCACGAATTTGTGCACCGGGCCTCTAGTACCTTTATAAACCATGCTAATAAACTCTTTCATTTCTCTTTAAAATTTTCCATTTTAATTTAAATATGCTTTGTTTGTATAGATATCATGAACATAGTCTCACCTTGAGCATTTAAATGTCACGAAGTCCTCTTTGACCAATACATCAATCCTACTACCTCCCCCAAGAGCAAGCAATCCTATCAGTTTGGCTTTTGTATTTTGAGATATTTAGTTTTTTTATTTTATTGCATTCATAACTGAAGTTGATGGAGGTGATTTTCAAACCAGGCTGTACATTATAAGCCCATGGAGCACTTCTTAAAAATATTGATACCAGGACCTCAACACAAACAAGATGATCCAGAATCTCTGATGTCAATTTCTGCAAAGGTATTTTAAGGAATTTCTCCAGTGACTCAAATGTGAGGACTGAGTTAAGAATCAATATACAGAATTTTTTTTGGTGTCTTTTTAAATCACATAAGTAATGTCTTATTGGACATACTGCATTTCCATTCTTGAAGTTATTCCTCAGTTGCTAAAGGGCTAACATGGTAATTTAAAGAATCAAAATTCATGTATTTAAGGGCTTGGGTCCACCAAACAAATTTGAATTTTTAAAATATATAACACAGGTATTAATGAGAACTTGTCTTTTACATAACATCCAAATTGATTGAAAACTGAACTCCTACTGCTTATCTTACTCCCATGTTTTCAAAACTTCAGTATTTTCAAATCTCTTATTATTGCTCACACGACTCTACATTTTTGACTCATGCCTTTCTTTTTATAGTTATTTCTCTCTTTCCTCCTCTCACCCTCTCTCCCTTTCCTCATTTCCTCAAGAACTACAGGACTCATTCCTCTTTCTGGAACTCACCAAGCCCTCATTTCATGTCTTCCTTGTTGCCCACTTCCTGCTTCATTCGGTCTCTTCCCAAATACCGTCCCCTCATGCGTGCCATCCATGGCCATCCTTTTTCTATTACTCTCTAGCCCCTTGCCCTCCTTGATTTAATAAGTACTAATAAGTATTTATTAGTACTTATATAGTACACGTCTTTATTCTGTATCTTTTATATTATACTTTAAGCACTTGAAGGCAGAGATTTCATTATTTTGTTCACGTCTACATCCTTAAGACTGGGAAGAGAATCTAATACATAGTTCATGCCTCTGAAGTATTGTTGAATGAATGAATCGATAAAATAAATATATTAATTATCTCAGACCACACTTGTAGGGAAACTTTAAGGGAACCTCCAATAATTTCCCACATTTTTTTTTCTATAGTCCCAAGTGGGAATGGGTGGCATCCTGAAGAAATTTTACTTCCTTATAATTTATTTGGAAAGGCATGGAAATTATGGTGGTTCTAGAATGGCGAATTCAAGGTTGCATAGTTCTGGGATTATTGCTTAGAAAGCAAAATATATATTTTCTGTACAGGTTACCCAGAACTTCCTCATCAATATTAGGGACTTGAGATGGTCCTAGAACCTCATGAATATGCATTCTGAACCCTAGACTCATATTTCCAAAGATTGCAAAAAATATATCTATCAAATGAAGGAAAATATATCATAATTTAGTTATTTGGGAAAATACCTGTTTAAAAATGCCAAGCTTATTGCTTCAGATTTTTAGAGTCTTTGATAACTAATATTGTTTGAAAATTTCCAAGAAGTTGTAATAGTATGTAAGTATCCCAGACTTATTTGATCACAGAACTTGTATCATAGACCATCTTCAGAAATCTGTGTTCTTTGGTTCAGATTGTAGGGTTCACTTTGCTGGGTGCTATGTCAAAAATAGTTTTAAAACACCCAGATTGTGTGATAAAAGTGTTATAACTTTTAACATTCTTTTATGCTGGTTTATTGGATGTTTCAGAAGTTCTAAAGTAGAATATAAAATATATATATATATATATATATATATATATATATATATATATATATATATATATATATATATATATATATATATATATATATATATATATATATATATATATATATATGAGAGAGAGAGAGAGAGAGAGAGAGAGAGAGAGAGAGGGAATATGCAAAGTGTATGTTACGGCGTCACAGTAATGACCGTTCAACAGGCTGCGCACGCATGGAGTACCTCTAGGTCCCTCCTCCCCACCTCCGATCCCGCAGAATTGGCGCAGATCCCTCCCGCCTCCCGTGGAAGTGGCACGGCTCCCTCCCACCAGTGCTCTCAGGCGCACTGCGGCTCCCGCCGGCTCCCACGGAAGCAGTGGGCGGCCTATTGCATGTGATATTGTGCACTGGGTCACTAGTAATATTCATAAAGGGTAAATGGAAATTTATTAAATGCCTTTATTCTGCCCTGTCTTGTTTCTTCAGCTTTATTCTCCTTACAAGTTCTATATTCCTGAAGTCAGTCTATTAGATATTAAGCCAAAACAAGAACAAGCCCCCTTTCTCTTTTCTTTTCTTTTTTGTTAATCCTCACTCGAGGATATTTTTTCCATTGATTTTTAGAGTGGAAGGGAGGGGGAGAGACACATCAATGTGAGAGACACATCAACTGGTTGGCTCCCACATGCATTGGGGCCTGCAACCCAAGTACATGTTAGATGTGCAGAATAAAATAATACATTTTAATTTGCCTATATTCAAAGTGATTACTAAAAAGTAACTATATCTAATATTTACTGGGAGCTTACATTTTGCAATACTTGGTATTTAAATGTATATCTTATGTTTCTCCTTCATTTCACAATAGCCATTATAATTCAGTAAGGAAAGCACTAATATTTTGTGGGTAAGGGAGCTGAAATTAGAGACAGTAAGTAACTGGTCTAAACTTAAGGAACCAGTAACCAAAAAACTCATGTAAATTTTTGGTTAAGACTCTTTTCCTCTTTGAATGGCAATCTGTGTGATAATGTATAATGGCTATGTAAGAATATATAACCTGGCATAAATAAACAAATAAAAAGATAAAGAGAAAGCTGTAGGAAATCAGAACTCTGAATTGTACACATAGGTAAAGTGCTTAGCAATTAATCTGTTGAATACACAGTTTAAGTGAGATGCATAAAATGCATTAATCCTAAAATCAAATACTAAAGATTGTGATTGAAACCACAATCATTTATGTTAGTTTAAATAAAAATATGAGCTGTGTAGTGCCTGGCAATGGTGATACTTGATACTTGAGAACATAGTTACTCCTGAGAAGTTGTGCCAGTTGCTTAGTGCTGCTTAAATTAATCTGTTTTTTTTCCCATTCAATGCACATTTTGAATAAATTACATATCTTTTATTTTTCAGTTAGCAATAATGGCAGCAATGTACAGAATCTATTATCTTCACTCCACCTGAATACCAGATCATTAAGACTTTTAACCAACAGATTTCAGGTCTTTAGTGATTGCTGGAATCACCTCTTTGCAAACACTGGGCTATATGAAGCACACAATATCTCTCTGTATAAAACTCTAATATGCAAATAGACCAAACGGCAGAACAACCAAACAACCAGTCGCTATGACGTGACCACCAGGGGGTGCGCGCAGAACATGGCAGGGGTTAGCCGTGGCGGGATGGTGGAACAGGTGAGCGGGGGTGCCAGCCCAAGGCAGAGCACTGGTCGCTGTCATCGGGGTGAGCCTCTGGTGGTTATTGAAAATTCTTTGTTCCAGCATGCTGTGGTCCTGCCTGGAGCTCACATCTGCTGCCAGCGCCCAGCACTGGCCCCAATCACTCGGTGCCGTCAGCGGGTGCGAGTGATGGCTGCTGGCCCTGATCGCCCCTGAGGGCTTCTCCACCTCCCCCTGGTCCTGAAGGGTGATTGAAGCAGCAGCCGCCGCTCACGCCCACTGCTGGAGCCAGCCATGCTCACACTTGCTGCTGGCGCTGGCCCCAATTGCTCCACGCAGTCAGCGGATGTGAGCAGGGCTTGTGCCATGTCAGCACATGGGAGCGGTGGCGGTGGGAGTGGGGCTGCCAGCAGACAGGGGGTTGGGGGCCGTGGGCTGGGCGGGGGCGCAGAGGATAGGCTGAAGCCTGCCCCTGTGCCCACCACAACCTCTCGGCCCACAGTTCCTTTCAAGGTACACAAATTCGTGCACTGGGCCCCTAGTATTTAAATAAGTAGCAATAGGCAAGGTTGTGATTTCCAATTTCAGTGATGCAACTATATGGAATATTACACATGCAAATTAAAACAGTAAATTATTTTCAAATTAATGCAGAAAGAACACCTATTTCAGGAATTATTACTGCTTAGAAGAAAGAAAATAATTATTACAAGTATTTTTACAAAATACCTTGCATAGGAAGAAGTAATCTAATAGAAGCCAGGAGAAGTGGGTTTTGCTCTAAACTCTAGCAATTGAAGGGAGGCCAATCCCTTATTTTGTGACCCTTATTTTTTCACAACTTTAAGTAAAAGGGTTAGTTTAAGTTGTCTTTTAAGGGTCAGTTCAACATCCTAGGTTTGTAGGAAAACACAGACAGAGTGAAAACTAAACTACCCTTGAATAACAACATGATAACTACATCTTAGGATGATAAAAACAGTAAGGATGTTTGGAGTTCAGTTCTTGCAAGTTTCCCTTTTACATGAAGGAGAAAAACTGTAATCTAGAAAAGTAGGTGACTTACTGGAGCCGAGTTCTGGGTTAAGCTGAAAAGGAAGGAGCGCCTAGCAGAACTCCTGACTCTGCTTTACAAAGGATTTGCCCCAAGGACATTTCCATGCTCTTTGTCAGGAAGAGGCAGAGCTAGATGGAATTTATTGTATTCTTTATAATTAGTAGCATGAGCTTCCTCAGAAAACCAAAAAATAGAACTACTATGTGGTTCAGCAAGTTCACTACTGGGTAACAAAAACACTAATTTGGAAAGATATATGCATCCTTATGTTCATTGCAGCATTATTCAACTACTATGTGATTCAGTAAGTTCACTACTGGGTAGCTATCAAGAAGAAAACAAAAACACTAATTCGGAAAGATATAAGCATCCTTATGTTCATTGCAGCATTATTCACAATAGCCAAGATATGGAAGCAACATGAGTGTCCATAAATAGAAAAATGAATAAAACAGTTGTTTTTTTATGCACACACACATATATAAAACATATACATCTACACACATATGTACAATGGAATGTTAGTCATAAAAAATGAAACCTTACCATTTGTAACAGTATGGATGGACTTAGAGTAAAATAAGTCAGAGAAAGACAAATAGGTTATGATTTCACTACCTGTGGGGAGGAGTAACTAGGGTGAAGGGGAATAAGAGGTACAAACTTCCAGTTACAAAATCAATCAATCACCGTGATGTAATGTACAGCATAGGGAATATCATCTATAGCATCAAATTAACTTTGTACAGTGACAGATAGTTACTAGATAAATGTGGTGATCACTTCATAAGGTGCATAAACATTGAATAATTATGCTGTATACCTGAAACCCATGTAATATTGTATGTCAACTATGCTTTAAGAAAAATAAGAAAAAAAGTACTAGCATGAGATATTTTTCTTTTCATCCTAATCATTTCCAATGGTCATTTAGATGGTTTAAACTACTGGTAAAATGGGGAAGAAAAAAGTATAAATGTCACTTTTTCCCTTGTACTTACTATACTGTTCTTCTCTGTTTTTATTTTCATATATCAAGGTATCTAAGAATTACTTTGGGAACAATTCAATTGTCATCGGATGCAACCAGCTGCTCCCGGAGGGGATAGGGAAATGGGTGAGTTCTTCCTAAGAATTGTACACAGTTACTCCCTTTTTTGGGTGTGGCTAACTATTGTTCTTTGGATAATACTACACGCTTTGTTTGTCAACTAAAATGGTTTTATTTGCTTGCACATAAACTGTTTTAAAACAAGTTGATTTTAAATGTATTTTAACATAAAATAATTACATTACAAAATAGAAAATAGAAGAAAAATGAAACTACTTAGTTGCTATCTTAATAACAAAACTATGACTACTTGAGTATATTTACTATAGAAACATTTTAATCACATAATTTTGAATTATTTTTAAACATAACATTATTAAATAATTGGTTCCATGCCACGGAGTCTTTGTAATGATCACTGAACAATAATAACTGCAGTGTTTTTCTTAAAAATAAAGTCTCCATGAAATGACTCACAATGAAACTAAGAAAATAAAGGTAAAGATCTTGACATTTGATTTTATGGAATAAACTCTTTTGTATTTAGCAAATATAAACAGTATTTTTCTCTAATATAGTATATTATTGGGTATCAAGTTTTACTTCTAGGAATAGCTAATGTTGAATAAGGTTATAAAAGAAAAATTTCATTCAAAAGAAAATTGGAAATCTTACATTAAACAGAATTAATGTTTCCAAAATTCATATTTCATATTCTTAAATTTTTGGTATAGATTAGTACTATAAGCTTATTAAGTCCTACTGTTTTATCACTCATGCTCCATTGTAGGACATAAAACTGTGATTATTAGCATACTTACTGCACTTCTGGCATTTTCATAGTCAATCCCGAGGGTGGTCATGGCTTTCACAATAGCTAGGATAGATTGCAATGTATTACTGTAAATTACTGCTTTGAATTCCATGCATTCTTGCTCACTGTAACCGTTCTTATGGATGATCCTATAATTTAAACATGAAAAGCTTTCATGAGCCAAACAATTGATTTTTTAAAAATACTAAAACACAATAATAATTTGCTTGAATAAAATTAAAGTATATATTTGTTGAAAAAGGAAGAATTTTGTCCATACATATATGCTAAATCTGAACAATATTTTTTTGGTTTTTGGATTTTTATTATCATTTGAGTTTAGTACAATATTTTATTTCTGATTTCCTAATGCTAAATATAAAGACAACTTAGGATTTGCTCTAGATAAAGCGCTATTAAAAATGGGAAAATCATGAACATTTTATTTAGAAAGCTTATTTCTTTTCAAGAGAAAAAACGCCCAGATTCCCAGGACAAAGTTGTGTAAGTAGTGTTTACACATGATATCAAGAGGAAAAGAAGTAAGTTAGTATGAAATTCAAGTCTTTTCCTCTCACTTAAGACACTCTAAAAAATAGGAGTGTGTGCTTTCTATTTAGAGCAGTAACAAAGGCATCTTTTTTAAATGTAGGTAATTCCTGGCTGTTAAATTCCTGTCACACTACATGCGTGCCACTGAGTACTCAAGGCTGAAATGCTGAGACATTTAATTTGGCTGAACTCTTCTTTTCCTTCCACTCATTCAATTAGAACTCAAAAATATTACAATATTTTTAGAAATAGATTAAAATAGATTTACCTATTAAAAGCTAAAATCTTTGCATATGCTAATTACTTTATTGCTTTATTGCATAATGTGTTCTTATTTCTTTTAGCTAGTTTTTCTCTCTCATTGTTTTGGAAATGCTTTTTAGGCATTATTCTGGATGTCATGTTATTAAAGATTTGTGTTGTATCCATTTAGAGACTTTAGCATGGGGGTTGGGGGGGGGGGGGGGATCTCCCAAGATATTAAAATCTTTAAATGGATTCTGCAGTGAAAGGGGTAGAGACAGTACCTATATCTCTTCTACTTTTAATATCTTATTGCCAATAATTGCTGTATTTGTAATGTAAATATGGCCATGTTTATTTTGACATATTAAACAATTAGAGTAAATTAAGTAGTCAATTAAAGGCTATAGAAAATGCAGTAAAATATTTTTGTGGATATATTAGGAATAAGTTTATTAAAGAAATTCCAATTCTTAGTCAAAAATTAAAATTGGAAAATTATTTTAATTATTAAATCAGAATGCCAATTACAAATAGGGGTCATTTAGATTTTCTTCCTGGCACAAGTACTGATCCCTTTCCTTTCACCATTGAAAAAGGAAACATCTATCACAAAGCAAATGACAAAAATAGACTTTAAAAAATCCAGCTGCAGTGGGACTTGAAGTAACTTGTTTTGGAGCTGCACAAATGTATTTCTGTGAAATAGAGCTCTCTACCTGCAAGTTAATTCCTAGCTCTGTTCAAATTAATAAGCTTTTACTGGGCATTTTCGGTAACATATTACATTATGCACTGAAGAAAATGAATAAATTAAACAAGTCCTTCTTTCCCCCCATCCCCCCAAAAATAGACTAGTCACTGGACACATTAATTCAAATTAAAAGATATTAAAAATTAATTCCTCAATCACACCAGCCCCAATGAAATACTTAATACCTACATGTGGCTAGGACAGTGGTTCTCAACCTTCCTAATGCTGCGACCCTTTAATACAGTTTCTCATGTTGTGGTGACCCCCAACCATAAAATTATTTTCGCTGCTACTTCATAACTGTAACTTTGCTACTGTTATGAATGGTAATGTAAATGTCTGATATGCAGGATGTATTTTCATGGTTACAAATTGAACATAATTAAAGCATAGTGATTAATCACAAAAACAATATGTAATTATATATGTTTTCCGATGGTCTTAGGCGACCCCTGTGAAAGGGTCGTTCGACCCCCAAAGGGGTCACGACCCACAGGTTGAGAACTGCTGGGCTAGGAGCTACCATGGTGAAGAGTACAGCTATATAACCTCTCTATCACCCAGGAAAGTTCTATTAGAGACTACTGGATTATAGGAAGGGAGAGCATATCTGATTTTTGTACAGTGTGGTTATGTGTAGCAACAACCTCTGCATGGTACAATGCACTAGAAAAGAAAAAGTGATACATTTTATTGGGAGTAAGGGATCAGGGTAGAAGCAGTGATAAACAGTTGAATTTTCTAGCATAAATAGTTATTTCCAGATAATCAAGAGGAAGAGAATAACCTAGGCAGAAGAATCAGTATGACCAAATATAATGCTCACAGTCATCAAGCTTTCAATATGTGCCACACACAGTTTTAAGTGCTCTATTTGCCTTCTCTCCTCATTTTTTGCAATAAGCTCTTTAAAGTAGGTAAAATTATCATCTAAATTTTGCAGGTAAGAAAAGTAGTCAGATACATTGACTAACTAGCCTTAATTTCATTTATGGTACAACTGGGCAGCAAATGCAATCTGATTTTAGAGCCTATGATCTTAGCCGGTGAACATGTTGACTATTCCTAAAAGACTCTGAGGAGGGAGAGATGGGGCAGAACCAGGAGAAACATTATCTATTTTGTCATTGCTGAACTACAGCTGTTTATGCAATTTTATATCTTGGTTTTTCAGTTAACAGTATTTTCTTTTATTAAATTTTTTTCATATACATATAACTTATAATGGACACAAAATCTTAAAGGTGAATAATCCCATGATTTCACAAACTATTTGATTATGTTTAATTTTAATTTAGGGTATTTTATCCTATCTTGTATTTCAATATTTGAAATAAGGTGGATATGTCTCTGTGCATACATTTTAATATTTATATTAAAAAAAATCATATCTTTTTATATTTAAATTATAGTATTATTAAAAATTCTCAAAAATATGTCTAAAAGGTTAATAATTATTTTATCAACTTATTGTGCATAATTGCCAAAATTATTTCTATAAACTTGCTGTAACAAGTTTACAAGTAGTAATAAGAAATATTTATTTCTCAAAACATCACTCTTATTAAGTAATATTACTTTGCAATTATTGTTTGCTAATTTACTAAGATGAGAAACAGCTCATTATTGTTTATTTTTTTATATTAGTGAGGTTAAACTAAATGTATATGTATATATATTTAATAGATATTTGAATTTTGTCTTATAAACTGTCTGTTCATAGTCTCTTCACATTTATATATATTGGGCAGCTAATTGTTTTTCTTAACAATTAATAGCTCTTTACATATTATGGTATTCAATTATTTATTATAATTTTTTTCAAATTTTCTATTTTCTCTTTAATTTTATTTATGGTTAAATATATTTAAAAGTTTTAATTTTTATATAGCCCAATGGTCATATCTTTTCTTACTGCACTTTACTTTATAGAGAGTGCAAAAGTAAGAAGGATAAGAGGGATTCAAGCATGATTATAACCTGCAAGAAAAACACAGGTGAACATAGTGGTAATATTATAAAGAAATACAAGATGACTTGGGTGCAGGGATGGATCTGAGAACCCGAAAGCAATATGAGTAGTGATCTGGATAAAGGAACTCTAAACTTCAAAGACAAGAGAAAAGGTCAAAAATGTAGTTACAGATATAGGTGACAGCATTCAAAAGTGGGGTTTAAATATTGGTTGATATGGGAACCAATATGGAACTCACATCACATTACTCAGAAATAAGAAACAAAAAGCAGTGGTTTAGATTATAGACAATTTCATCATTCATTGGAAATATTCCCTCATGATATGTGCTGAAGAACAAAATACTTGAACATTTAATTAGAAATGTGCTAAAAATGATTATCATCTTCTCCTATAGCAGCAATTGTCCTTCAAAATTCTCCAGCAGTGACAGAGCCATGAAATTTCACATATTTATCTCCACCTATCAATTGCCATTTTATTTGTTTAGGCATCGCATTCTGGATTCATAGAGTTTTTGTGTCCATTATCTCAGTATTAAGAAATGCAGGTGTACTTATCTATACTAATAAAAGGGTAATATATTAATTAGGGTGGATGTCCTTCGGGACAAAGCCTCAGCGGCTACCAGGGCCCAGGCTCAGGCCAGCAGTGGCAGCAGCAAAGGGGTAATGGGGGTGGCGCCTTCCCCTGATCCACCAGGTCACCTCCCGCAGAGGGAGGCCAGACTGTGGCTTAGGCTGGGGGCCAAGACAGAGGCAGTTAGGGGCGATCAGGCTGGCAGGGGACAAGGTAGGGGCAATCTAGCTGGCAGGCAGAGGCAGTTAGCCTAAACCAGCAGTCAGACATCCCCCGAGGGGTCCCAGATTGGAGAGGGTGCAGGTCGGGCTGAGGGACACCCCCCCGACCCATGCCCCCTGGCACCAGGCCTCTAATTTCATTATAAAGAGAAAAAAGTAAATAAAATAAATTTAAGTCCACGATAATCATAACTTTAAATATGCATTTTATTTTCAGGTAAGCAAAATACTAATTAGGCTAAAAATAGTTTTCTCCTAAATGCAAATGGATCATTGACTGACATATTTAAAAATCTTTCTGGCTTATGACCACAATATTAAAGTTCTATTTATACTCAGATTAATATATTTATAGTATAACTGCTTTTGGTATTCATCTTGTGAAGATGCAAAATTTAAAAGAAAAGTGAAAATTATAATATTACTGATCTCCTATGCTTTGTGCTAAAGTAAGGAGGAATATTTGCACAGAAAAATTCTGCAGCACACCAGAAAAAGTTATATTTTTTGCCAATCTTACAAAAAATAGATATATTTTTATATATTTACAAAGAAATAATAATAATAACCTACCCTTTTTGCTCCAAAGTGACTTTTTTAAAAATTACGTGCTGCCCTGGCCACTGTGGCTCAGTGGTAGAACATCGGCCTGCACACTGAAGGGTTAAAAGTTTGATTCCTGGTCAAGGGCACATACCTGGGTTGTAGGCTCATTCCCTGTTGGAGCGCCTGCAGGAGACAACCAATCTATGTTTCTCTCACATCGATGTCTAAATATCCTTGGGTGAGGATTAACAAGAATAAGAAATAAAATAAAATAAAAAATCAGGTGCCTATTCTTGTATATAATGATTTCTGGTACCAAGAATTAACCAATCAAGACGCTATGTTATTATGTGATGTAACCAATATGATGCAACTCTATATTTATGGTTCATACAGGGCATTCACACTGGATAACTATTATGTTGGCTGTTGTTATTTTTTTTATTGTTATTTGACAATCTAAGGGAAAAGAGGTCAGTGCCCTTGACTAAATAGTCAAGTGTTGCATGTTTTTAAAATTCTTGTGACACACCAGTGTGCCACAGCACACCTGTTGAAAGTCGCAGATTTAGATTATCAATCACATTTCCCAGAGGTATTTATTTTTAAAATGGCCAAATAGATGGACAGATATTAAATAGTAAACATTTATAATAGTATATACTTACTTCATTTGTTTAACAATAGTACTTTTTCCAGATTCTCCTGCTCCTGAAAAGAAAGATGGGAGTGTTATCAACTGATATATGTACATCAAATTCATATACATATTAAAACCTGTGACATCACTATCTCATGGGTAAATCCTTAACAGACAGCTCTCCGATGTAAAAAGCAGGATAATTTTTCCATTAAGTCTTGTAAGGTATTAGGTGTCTACTTTCTAGGATAGCCGAAGGAAATGAAACCCACCTATATTGATGATAGATCCAGATATAGTTTGGTTTCAAGGTAGAATGTATATTCTAAAGCAAGAATTACATGTCATTAGGAAAAAAATCCTATTATTATATTTGAACATACTTTAGAAAGATTATCTCTTGGCTTTGTACCTTAAAGAAATGGTCCAAACTTTATAGTTTCTAGATCACTATCATTCTCCCAGAATGTCTCTGCATATATTCTATTGATTAAATAATAACAACAAAAAACACACAAAAAAATCTAAGCAATAACTTTTTATTTCCAGAAAGCCTATTGTGATTGAAGAAGGGGCTGTTGTCTTCATCATCATATTTACATTGCTACACAGGCACTTTCTCTTCTGTTTAAAGAAAGGAAACAGAAGAGAAACAGTAAATGAATTAAAAGGCCTACAGAGAAGTTGTATTTTAAACAGTAGAATAAATGCAAGGGGACTCAAGAGGATTCATATAAGGATGATTAAAATTATTCACAATACTAGAGGCCTGGTGTATGAACCGTACACCAGTGGGGTCCCTCGGCCTGGCCTGCAGGATCGAGCCAAAACTGGCTCTCCAACATCCCCCGAGGGGTTCTGGATTGCAAGAGGGCACAGGCAGGGCTGAGGGAACCCCCCCGAGTGCACGAATTTTTGTGCACTGGCCTCTAGTCCTATATAATAAAGAGGTAATATGCAAATTGACCATCACTCCAACACACAAGATGGCCACCCCCATGTGGACACAAGATGGCTGCCACAAGATGGCCAGCAGGGGAGGGCAGTTGGGGAGGGCAAGGCTGCAAGGGAGGTCAGTTGGGGGTGACTGGGCCAGCAGAAGAGGGCAGTTGGGGGGGACCAGGCCTGAAAGGGAGGGCAGTTAGGGGCAATTGGGCCAGGAGGGGAGCATTTAGGCGTCAATCAGGCTGGCAGGGGAGTGGTTAGGGGGTGAGCAGGCTGGCAGGCAGAAGCGGTTAGGGGCAATCAGGCAGGCAGGCAGGCGAGTGGTTGGGAGCCAGCAGTCCTGGATTGTGAGAGGCCCGTCGTATTGTGAGAGGGTGAAGGCTGGGCTGAGGGACCCAAGCCCCCGTGCATGAATTTCGTGCACTAGGCCTCTAGCATCCTATATAATAAAAAGGGTAATATGCAAACTGACCCTAACATGATTGGGAATGACTGGTCACTATGACACACACTGACCACCAGGGGGCAGATGCTCAATGCAGGAGCTGCCCCCTGGTGGTCAGTGCGTTCCCACAGCCAACCTCCTGCAGCCGGCCAACCTCCCACAGTCCCTCCCCGCAGCTGGCCCCGATAGGTCCCGATCACTAGTCAAGCTGAGGGACCCCACCTGTGCATGAATTCATGCTCCAGGCCTCCAGTTGGTTAATAAAATTATATGTTTCAACTTTGAAGAAACTCAGAGACTGAGAAAGAATGTCTAATTCCTGACCATTAAACACATTTTCTTAAATAATACTATAATATCTAGTATTTCTAAGTGAAATGAAAGTAATTTAGATCATTTTTATTTAAACAAATTTTCTATCCTGAGAATAAGAAAAAAAAAATTATAAAATGATTTTCCAGAATTGTACTAGCATATGTGTTGTGGACTAATACATTATCAATTAAGAAACATTTTGAGCACACAAAATATTCTAAATAATCACAACCAAGTTTATTATATTCATTCTGTATGATGGACTGGTCAAAAATTTATTATAACTTGGGGTAAAAGTGACTTTTTGACTGTGTCAGAATTAAAGTACATTCTGACTTGTCTTTCATACTTCATAAATATGGCCTATTAGTAATCGTACTGATGACACCTGGCAAGTTTCCAAAAGTATTTCGGAGGCTAAGTGGTTATTATCATAGAAGGATTCTTTATAACTTAGCTGGTCATTCATGATGTGATTTAGGTAAACTGAATAAATAAGCATTTTTAAAATAGCTTATAGTTTCTGTGTGAAACTATATATGACACATTAGTATTACCATTTGAAGACCTTACAAAAGCTCTTTGAATTATTCCTTATTTTTTGCAGTGACTTCTATCTTCTAGATGAAGGTCCAGTATAGTAAACTACAGCACTAACAGAATAAAGTTCTTGAAGAAAAGTCAATTTGTCCAAAATTTTATTTATTATTTGAAACTCTACTGCAAAACTATTTCAGAAATAAATTATTGAGTCCCATTCTCAATGATTCTAGGTCTTAGTTCACAATAACTTTCCATTTTTTTAAAGATTAGATCATGTTACACTGCCAAATATAGATATAAAGACAATATATTTGCACAGGCTGAGGGCATCCTGAAATAATTTCTTCCTTCCAAACTGTAGTCATTACTAAAATTATTTTCTGGGTCAAGGTGTACCAAGGGACTTTTAACAAAATGTGCATGTATTTCTTTGAAGTAGATAATGTTTCAATTAATTAAATATCTAAGTTTATACTTAATTCATACATTAATATGCATAAATTATTTTATTCTTAGTAAGAATAAATTGGGAATTTTATTCCACATTTTTTATTTGCAAATACCAAAAACAATTTTAAAGCTTTATAATATCTATACCTGTAACTGTACTTCACTGAATACATTCAAGGCTTGATTGCTCATTTGATACAACTTGTTGAAACAGGAAAAATTCGAATATAAACACATTGAATTCTTATCATGCATAAAATATTTTGTAGGGGATCTTTAAAATCCCATAATGGTACAGTAGGAAGAAACCTTAAAAATCAGCCATCTATGCACATCTCATCATTCTGGTGTGAGAAAAAGGAAAAGGAGTCCTGTAGAGACCATGACACTCATCCAAAACCCCAGATCTATTTAAGACAAAGAAGCTATGTCAGCTGACTCCCATATTACTGCTATAATGTTGTTTTCTTTTTAGTATGTACTACTAATGTCAAGTCAAAATGATTTAAATGCATAAATTATTATTTTATTATTATTTTTTTTATTTTATTTTTTTGGTGAGCCCTGACATAGAGACAACGCTGTGAAACTGTCACATGTGAAATAAACCCACCTGTAAATCATACCCAGGGTGGGGCACTCATGGGCTTACAGTTTTAAGTTCAGAAAACACAGAGATTATTCTTTTAAAAATATTTTAGATACTTTTATTCTTTTTTGGGGGAGGGAGAGTGAAGCAAGGGGAATAGAGAGATAAACATAGATCTGCTGCCTCCTTCATGCCCCCTACTGGGGATCCATTTGGGGATGTGCACTGACCTGGAATCAAACCAGAGACCTTTCAGTGAATTGGATGACACCCAAGCAGCTGAGGACACTGGCCAGGGCAGAGTTTATTCCTGTATTATTATTATTAATTAATAAAGGTCCGGTGCATGAAATTCCTGCGGGGGGCGGGGGGGGCGCGCAGGGGGGTAACCCCTTAGCCCGGCCTGCACCCTCTGTAATTCGGGACCCCTTTGTTCATAATTTTATAGGCACTATTTGATGTGTACTCTTTAACTAATTCTGGTTTCCTCCATGCTATACTGTTATTCTGAGATTCAACACAAATGTTTATGTGAAAAGTTTATTTAATTCTGAATAGAATTAAATAAACTTTTTTTTATTTAACTATGTTCTGTAAATAAACACTTTATCTATTGATCTGTCTGTGTTTTTTGTTATTTCCTGGTTTGGGGTATTATAAATAAATATTCTGGGAATATTTGCATTCAGTTCTCTATATAGACATATGTTTTACTTATCAAAATGTTGTGTGGATTAATGTTTTACATTTAAGATATGCGATACTGTGAGCCAATATGGTCATTCCCTTTGCATTCCCTCTAACCCACAGTATATAAAAATTCCAGTTTTTCTGCTACCCTGCAAGGACATACAATTGTTAACCTTTCAAATAGTAACCCCGGGAAATGCATATATTGTTAACTCACTTTCGTTGTAATTCCATCTACCTAAGAATTTTTTAAGGTGAACATTTTTTCATAAATTTCTTTGCCATGTCTTTATCAGCTTTGTTAAAATGTCTGCTGATAATCCTTTTCAAATTGTTTAAATAAATTTATTATTCTAACTGAAAGATAACTATGCAGCATTTAAGACATATGCTTAAATTTCCCTCATTCCTCAGTGACTCAAATGACTCTTTGCTGTTGGGGTCCAGCCCCAGCAGGTCCAGGGGTTCCCAAAGGTGTGGACGGAGTCGGCGAAGAATGAAGGACACGGAGACAGCATTCAGTTGATCAGCATAGCCAGGTTCTCTAGCCAGGTTCTTTTGCATAAATTATTTTAAATCAATATGAAAGCAGTGTACTTTCAGAAACATATTGGTATGCAGTGTCTGCTGTCATCTGTTTGAAGACTGTTGGTACTTAAGATTCTTAAGGTAGTCTTTTCTGAACCAACTTAATTTTTTTCCACTCACTATTTCTCTTTCACATGGAACAATGACAAAATTATCTGTCTCTGCCATATGACAACCTTTCAGATATTCTAGACTGAGGGTAGAAAAATGAATAGAAAAATACTCATGTTTTTGAATTAAAGAAATATGAGCTTGCACTCATTTCTGACATTGACTAGGTGTCTTGATTATGTTTAATCTGAGAGTCAGTATCCTTTTTATAAAACTGGATTATTAATATCTGCCTATTAGGGTTTGGGAAGATTAAATTAGAGATATAAAATACCCAGAACATACTTTAACATGTAGTGAGCTCTGAACATTTCCTTATATTTGAAGCAAGCTCCATTTTCTAATAAAATTTTCAAATATAGTGTTCCATTCCTTTAATTTTTACTTGTAGAACA